GGCTTGCTCGGCACAATTCAGGCTTTATTGCCCCAGCTGGGGGAAAATATGACACAATGACAGACACAAACTTTACTAGCCAACAAGTCAGTGCAACAGGGTTACAGCAAGATAAGGGAGAGGATAGTTACAAAACTTGGCTTAAAAGAGATATTGCTGCGTCTATTAGTATCATACTTGGGGACACAGAGGCGTGAAGGGGGTGAGAGAGACAATCCATAAAACACTTTTTCTTTGCCACACTCTGTTTCTAGAGGATGTTTAAGGAGATTTGATTGACCCCAATTAATTTCCTACTTATTTTGACTCATTTTCTACTGTTACAATCAATGGTACTGATGATACCAAACCAGCAGTTGAGGCAGTATGTCAAGATTCTTTCAGTAAAAGACTTGTAGAAAAGTCTTAAGATGGTTCTATTTACCTTGAAATATATTAGCTTCCTTAGAAAACAGTCTCTTTTGTCCTTTTTTTTTATAAATGGTGTTGCAGCATTTGTCCAAACTCAGGTTTTTTGTCTATAACCAGTCCCAAGTATTTGTAGTCATTGACAGTTTCCACAGTCTGACCATTAATTACAGTAGGGTGGAGGGATGTCGCATTTATTCTTAAAATCAATGACTAGCTCCTTTGCTTTTAAAACATTTAACTGCAAAGCGAACTCATCACACCATTTATTCAGACTAACTAGGCTACCAAAATTATTGGAACAACGGTACAGTTCACCGAGTCTGGCTTTACTAGGTTCCTAGACTGTGACCACATAAATCGTTTTAAGCACAATTAGATATTTAAGACCTTAGGAGGACTCGATGGTGTTAAAGGACTGAATAAGACCTCTTCACGTTCAGAGATAAAGCTTGCTGTTGAAAACTGTCTGGTACAGTAGCCTGGACTGCCTCTCTTTCCAAACACGGTGTCCCTGTCGACTACCTGAGTCATTTTAAGCGTTTGCAGGTCATTTACCATGATAAGGGTGACTGACATTTTTAGCTGTGATGATAAGACATACACTGCAAACTCAACATTAATAGAAACATAACTTTTATAACCTAAACTCTTACTTACTTTTTCTTTTTCAGAGACCTGAAGCCAGAGAACATCCTGCTGGACTCTCAGGTGCGTCTCCCATGGACCGGCAATAACATACAGGCCCTGCCAAGAACTCCTCCGTCCACCCAGATTAAAAACCTCATGGATACACTGGTGCATTTTCATGGCTATGCGATGCCTCTTGATCCACTGGATGCACCCTTGTCAGGAGTCTGTAAAGATCCTTCTGTCCTTTTAAAATCGTTGCAGTAACTGCGGCACTGTGGCTCGTGATCCACCTCATCGGGTGGCGAGAGCCTGGGTTCAAATCCGCCGAATAAACTGCAATCGGTTAAGGTCTGGGTTCAAGACCACTGACTGCCGAGCCTTATGGGTGGAGCGGTGGCTCTGTGGCTAAGGATCTGTGCCTGTGGCTGGAAGGTTTCCGGTTCAAATCCTGCAGCTAGCAGAGGAGTCCTACTCTGTTGGGGCCCTGAGCAAGGCCCTTAACCCAAAACTGCTCCAGGTGCGCTGTACAATGGCTGATCCTGCGCTCTGACCCCAAGCTTCTCTCCCCGTCTGTGTGTCTCATGGAGAGCAAGCTGGGGTATGCGAAAACAAATTCCTAATGCATATAGGGCTAATAAAGTGATCTTATCTTATCTCCTAATTTATGGGCTTATGTACAGAGTCTCATGCAGAAACAAGCCCAGGCCACTTGGTTTAAGAGCTTGCTGATTGTGTTTCTGTGCAGCTGTTGAGAGTGTGTATAGGCTACCGGTTGAGGGCTCTAATGAAATGAGGTGCTTTGTGTTCTGCTGTCCAGGGACATGTGGTGCTGACTGACTTTGGGCTGTGCAAGGAGGGAATAGAGCCTGAAGGAACTACTTCCACTTTCTGTGGGACTCCAGAGGTAAGAAGCGTCTCGCTAGGCCTGTCAATGCCTGGATGACGGTGTGACACAGGGCCTGTGGTGCAGGTGTGGCGAATGTCCTTTCACATGTCTCAGCCCTACTGAGGTCTCCGTGGTGATTATGTGCTTTTTCTCCCTCTGTCTCTGCAGTATCTGGCCCCGGAGGTGCTGAGGAAGCAGCCCTATGATCGCACGGTGGATTGGTGGTGTCTGGGAGCTGTGCTCTATGAGATGCTGTATGGGCTGGTGAGTGTGGCCTGCAGGGCGGCGCTGTGCCTGTAAGCACTTGTACACCTGGAATGTACCACAGCAGTGGAATGGAAAACCGCTGAAATGGCGAAGAATTCTTGCACCTCAGTCTGAGTGGCCACACTGCTGTGGATTTCTTACTATTCAGCTCGTGCCAGGTATCCTTATAGGCTTAGGTGTCCTGTTGGTAGTGCTGTAATTTATCTCGCAATCAGACGGGAACTTCAGGATCACACCTGTAGTCTTCACGTGCATTTCAGCTCATGCATGCTCTGTGTGCGTGATCGCTGCGTTGATCAGTACTCTGCG